ACAAGAATTAAGTCATTTGAGAGAATAAAGAGCTTTACCTGAACACAAAGAATAAAAGCTGTAAGAAATTGAGTTTGTAAGTGGTTTGTCACAGAGAGCTGTGTGATAGTAATCTGAGCAAGATGTGATTTAGCCTCCTCTTTAGATATGGGGCACCTAAAAACCTAGCCAAGTTTTCTAGGTAGATCTCCAAGTCAGCTGGAGAGAATAATCACAGAAGCACAGAATATTCAAGGTTGGAAGGGACCTCTAGAGATCATCTAGTCCAACCTTCAATAATAATAAAACAAAGGAATCATTTTAAGAACAGTCTTCTACTGTTTAGCACACAGCTGTAATTGATATATATGTGCATATATGTGTGTATATATATGTATATATCAGGGCAAATACTGCAAAAGGAGCAAAAATTGAGTATGAAGACCATGAAATGTAGGGGGCAGTGGGAGCTGGTGAGCTAGATCTAATTTTCTTTGTTGGAGAAACGTAAAATTAGGTGACAACAATTCCATGCTCGCCCATATTCCACCCGTGACCACAGCAGCATCAGCAGCCTCTGCTCATCATGTTGCTGTTGGAGTTTCCTCGCTGCACCTCGGGAAGCAGCAGCAGCTGCTGGAAAGCAGCAGCCCTCACGTTGTTAGGCGCAGGGGGGAGATTTGAGTGGTCGCTGCTCACAAGGATTAGGATCATGTCCCATCCACTTCTTAAGCTGACGTTTGAGATTAGATTAAACCTGTCGAGGTCTGTCAATGTGAGCGTTGCCCGGCTTTTCATTGAAAGCGACATCCGCAGCCACAGAGAGTGTCCACTCGGGCACTGTAGTGGGGGTGTGTTGTCAAAAGTAATTGAAATAATTGCTTTTTGCAATAGCTGACCATCAGCTAATAAAACAGGCATTTTTGAAACAAATACCTTGGCAGATGCAATTCGTAGTAGTCTTGAAGAAGGTATTGGGAGATTGCCCAGACAATTAAAATTTAATTTTGATGTTTGTCAACTTTAATTTACGCATACTGGATGCAGCTCCTCGAATAAAGAAAACCAAGGAGTGGTTTTCTTCATCACAGTGCAACATTGGCTGAGCTCTCATAGATCTTCACCAAATCCATGCGGAATCTGCCTTTACATTTGCTATCGGTGCCACTTTTCTTGCCCAGAGATTCTTGGTCCCTGAGCCAGTTTCTCATGCTCTGACTGAAAGCTCCCCTTTTCCCACAGAACTGCCATACCTCATGGTATGAAACTTTACTGAGAAAAGAGATTTTAAAACACATTCCCTTTTCTACATACACTGATAAGGAGAGGGGGAGCTTTGCATGCTCCTTTTCCCCTTAAAACATTTGGCAGCAAGACTGTCTCGTCTGTGAACTGGGCGACCTGCTGTTCTTGTACGCGAGGTATTGCTGAAGGAAAAGGAGGATTTCATGGGAGCGGAGGTTCTCAGGGAGATCCGGCCTCGGGCGCAGTGTTTGTCCAAGTGGTGGCACGTGCTCAGGGCAGATCTAGCTGTGGACACTGTGGTGAGACCAGACCTCTGTCTTCTGCAGCAGGTTGGAGGAGCACTGCAGTGTTACTGGTGACAACCTCTAGTTATTTGGCCTGCTGCTGTGGGACGCTGAAGCTCATGTGTGTTTGACATGCTGGTAATGAATTTGTTTTCTACCAGGCAAATGCAGCAGAATGACTCTTGGAAACCTCCCAATTAAAGAGTGTGTTGCAGTCGATGTGCAATCTCTCAAATATCAGAAACTTCACACAGTTTAATGCTATCCCAAGAGAATATTTCAAAATCACTAAGCTCCTGGCTAGCAAAATGGGGATGGGAGTAGGGACTCCAAAGTACTGGAAGTCAAAGGCTGCTTAACTGACTTCAGAAAGTTTTTAAGGAAGCTTTTCTATCAGTAGAGGCTTAGACGTGTGTGGACAGCAGATGTCCATGCTGAACAGATCCATTCAAAGAGCCAAATGCCTCCTCAGTTTCTCTTAGGAAATGGCCTCTGGATCTGATCTATGTGCCTTATGTGTTGACACTGTACGAAAAGTGGTTGCCTGTCAAAAGTAAAATTTACTTTATTTTCATTTGTACGTTTATTGGTACTAACACTCAAATAGTCCATGAAAAAGGATGATGAAGGTTAGAGATTTCCTTTCTTATCTGTAAGGAGAGATGAGTTTTTTAGATTTTTTAAAAATTATATGCAGTCAGAACACCTTATCTACAATCGCACACAGCAATTTTTGAAAAATTCTGATTTTTACTTCTAAGATTGAGTGCTTGAGATCATCGAACAGACAAGCGGGAGCCAGCCAGGAAGCTCCTTACTACGTTGAGCCCAGCTTTAGGGATCAGGTGTTCAGGGACCTCTTCGTACAGTGTCACAGACCTCACGGTGACAAGGAGAGATCCAGTGCAAGCAGCCCCATATATCTGCAAGGATGTCCCTGAAGTCTGTGGGACGTCGGTGATGGGAGGCCAAAATGAATCAGGTTGTGTAAGGGTGGCTTCAAACGGGAAGGTGCTGCGGGTTGGTCCTTGGCTGCCTGATCTCTGGCTGTCACACGCTGAACAGCTTTTGCAAAGCCGACCATCTTGGTTCAGTAGCTTGGCAAGATTACAGCTTTTCTCCCTTTTCCTTTTTTTTTAAAAAAAGCCTGTATACTCCAACTGCTCTCTACTTAGGAGCAATAATTACCTCTTTCTGACTGTGTTCAACATACATGCCCAAGCGCAGATGTGCTCGGAGGAAGGAGGGGGCTGCTCACCTGATCATCCATGATGTTGCTGAGGGCGCTTCAGCTCCCCGGCCCACAGCAGGGCCGGGCCAGCCCTGCAGCCGCCCCAGGTCCCCATGAGCCACGGCCAGGCTCTGCCCAAAGCTTTCCCTTCGTTCTGGAACCCAAGCGATGGCGCAGTCACCAAGGAAGTCTTCAGTCGGCAGGGGAGGAGAGCAGCCCGCGTCGCTCCTGCGGCGGGAAGCGGGATGAGGCGACAGCTTGAGCGGCGCTTCCGCGGCCCAAGGCAGCTTAGAGCCCTTGACACCCTCTGAGAAACCCGCTGGTGGGGCACGAGAGCTGTTTTTCTGTGAAATATGTTTGGGAGGAAGAATTCATTGTAATAAAGATTGTCTATGTAAAAGGTTTTCTAAGAAATTAAAATGCCTTTTATACTTTTCCGGGAATCCTCTCCAGGCATTATTTTCTAGGCATGAATTGCTAGAATAGCAGCCGTACCCGGCAGCATTTCTAAAGGAGCAGCTTTGGCTGTGGAGCTGTAGCTAAAAGCAGCTTTGGTGCTTGGGCCTAAGACCCCTGGCTCTGCAGCCCTGCTCTCTGTGTCCTTCCAGAGCCTGAGCTTGTCCCCTAACTGGTTTATCCTTTTTAAATCTGGTTAAGGATGTTAGCTTCAACCTACCGTGGCAGGGTAGTATGCCGCTTATGTTACAAATACTCTCGTGTGTATAATGTGAGGTTATTCTCTTCCTCAGTCTAGTAGGAAAGGACACCTTCTGAAAAATAGTTTTTTTATACAAACAGACCTAAGTACCAGCTGATAATTTGTGGAGTTTAAGTGTTAAAATTAGGGGAAGGATTTCTGTTCTCCCCCATGCTCCCTCCATTCCGCTGCCTTCCCCTCCCACTCTTGTTACAATTTTCAGGGCCGTGGGTGATGGAGTAGGGGGTTGTTTCACTTCTGGCACCTTTGGAACCAAATGTCTTCCCAGTGCTGTCCTGAATCCCCAGCCTTGTGAGGGCTGCAGAAACTTAAGATCTGCACCAATATGCTCTGATAGTCCATCATCTCTGGGACCGACGATTAAATTAACTAATTAACACCATCTTCTCAGTTCAGGCTCTCTCTGTGCCAGTCCATGAGTTCTTAATGACCTAGTAATAGAACTGTGACACTTCATCTTAACTCAGAGCAGTGAGAACTTTTAATTTTAGAAGTCCTCTGCCAGCCGAGAGCGAGCCTGGTCAGACAGGTCATGCAGGCCAAAAGGAACAACAGGCAAGGCTGGCGAGGTGTCCAGAAGCAATTTGGCACCTTTCCCCTTCCTGCCCTGCACCCCAAAGACATGACTGCCACACCGAGAAACATGCACTAGCAGAGAAATTTCTCCTAATCTGAAAAATCCATATGGCGGGACTCATTGCAAGCTTCAGTCAGCTGTGATAACCACTCACTGTAAAGGGAGGGGGAAGGAGAAGCTGTAGTTGGCCCCCTGGAACCTGGCAGCCCCTCCACTGCTCTGAACCACCCTATGGATGGCTGAAAATGAACGTGGTTCTGAGCTCCTCGGCCTCCCTCACTCTCCCTGTCTCCACTGTGCTCAGGTGGAGAAGAAGACAGATAGGGTGACAGAACTTGCCCTTTCCCCATTTCCAAAAGAGCGTGGACAGCTAGTCCCGAAATCCTTTAGGGAAATCTTTTCCCTCACCCCATTATTTTCCCAAGTAATAGAAGAAAACCTGTTGTTTTTCATTTTGGTTTTGTATTTCAGTGGTGTTTTTTTGTATCACTTAGCAAGTTTTTACTTCACTTAGCTGTACTGAAGATGATTCAGATTCTTGCCGATGGACTTTTGCTTCTTTTCATCACCTGATGAAAAAGACATTGTGCTTCCGAAAAAGAAATAGCCTGTTCCTGAAGCTCTGTGGCCTGGGGTTTCAAGCATTTCTTCTCAGTAAAGCTAGCACTTTTACATGTTACAGTTAGAAATAAATTCTCTTAAATCAATCATTTAACAATAAGATTGGTGATAAGGCTTAGAGACCCATGCTCTGATTTTCATTCTTCCCTTTCTTTAGGTTGAAGTATCTGAATTTTTGACAGTTTGGAAAGGTGGAAACAAGTTCTGAGCAAGCACTTATTTATAGAAGTCCTAAATTACATACTAGTTCTTCCTGTCTCTGCTTTCTATCCTGCTGCATATCCTTTCAGCTTAGCTTTGAGGCTGGATAGGTCAGTGCTTAATACGATATTCTTTTAATTCCAGTCTTACATGGAAGATCATCTGAAAAACAAGAATCGTCTGGAGAAAGAGTGGGAAGCCCTATGTGCTTATCAGGCTGAACCGAATGCCACCGTCGTTGCACAGCGGGAGGAAAATACCCAGAAGAATCGCTCGCAGGCTGTAGTACCATGTATGTACCCTTTAATTTGGGTGATTATTTTTTATGTTTGTGCCACTTTCCCCAGTATCCTTTGCTCCGTACTTAGCTGCAGTTGGCAGGCCATACAGAACAGTATATGTGTGCATTAAAAAGTCGTATCTATAAATACTGTTTGGCTGCATGTCCTGTTGTCATATCGGACACAATTTTATCTCCTTATAAGTTGCATGGGTGTTGTGAATTAGCAGTGTTGTGCATAGCAGTGTGGCAGAGCGCTGCTGCTGCTGCAGCTGCACTGGCTACGGAATTCAGTAGCCAGGGCGCCTTTCAGCGCTGGAACAGGGTTTCTCTACAAGGGCGGCATCTGCAGCCATTCAGCAGAAGAAAGTTTGGCTTGGGCTTAGCCAAGTTGATACCACGTCCATCCAGCAGTAATGTCAGCAGTCTATAATCAGAGCTAGACGATGTGTTTATCAGCCACTCAGCTGTACTGAATGAGCCCCTTTAGGCTTCCGTGGATAAGCTTGCAGACTGGCCTCTCTCTCGGCTAGGCTTTGGATGAAAGAGAAGAATGCAGCTAATATTTATATTCCTAGAATCTGTTCTTTTCAGTAAGCAGCCACCTTTGTGAGCCTGAAATAAAGCAGCATATTTTCCCTATGCAAATATATGTATTGCATAGATTACATTGGTATGGGCCACACATTTTATTAAGCAACCAGTGAAGCAAAACTGAAACTGAGAATATATGCACAGACCACAGCGACAAAAATGTTCCCAATCAGTGTGCCCACAATCCAGCTGGGTAGCTTGGCAAAAATATATAGCTATTTTAATTTTTAAAGTGCCCTGCAAACATTAATTTTCCCTATGAGAGCCATGAGTAAGTGCTATTCCTCTTTTAGAAATGGGGAAATGACAGGTAATACATTAAGTCAATGTCAGAGCCAGATTTAGAGTGAAGACTGTTTGGAACTACATGATCTTTTAACTGAGCCCATCAGTGCTTGCGTATTTGTTTCAGTAGGGTTTGGCTCTCGTTAATATAGAGCTTCTCTTTGCAGCCTCTGAAGCTTTGGGGAAGAGGATGATAGTTGGGCAATGTCACTTCTCCAGAATGAATGTGGTACTGGGCAAAAGTCTGCTGGGATAAACAGCAACAGTTTGTTGACTTCAGTGGGTTTTGTAAGCAGATTTGTTGAAGAGTTCCAAAAAAGTAACCAGCAAAGTTAAAGGAGTGCCAGATTTCTGCATTTTTTTCTTCATATCCTGATTTTTAAAAAAAGTCTACCTGCAAAATAGGAAGTGATAATTGCTCCCTGATACTATCTATTGATCCAGATTGATCTTCCTGCTTAAAGGGCTTTTGTCAAAACGGACTTAAAGGCAGAACATCTTAAGCTTCCAAGTGGCTGCTGCTGAATTGAAGCAGGTAGTTGGTGGTCGCTGCCTTGGAGGCAGCTGGGGATGGCTGGCGTTGCCCAGGCTGGTGCAGCCCGTCCAGGCAGCAAATGCGTCCGCACGATGCAACGAGCAGAGCCCCTCAGCCTGCACGGGAGCAGGGATGTTAGGCCTGGTGAGGTGCCACCCTGCAGGGCCAAACTGTTTGCAGGGCTGGGAGAGTGTCTGATTTTGTGGCTCGGTGCCGTGGGGCTGATTCCAGCTCACGAGCTCCTGCCCTTGGCTCCCTGCGTGGTGCGTAGGGAGCTGTGCCCAGGCCACACGCGTTCGCTCGCACACAGCTGGCGTGGCTGAGATTCCTCGGAGCCATTAATTACAAATATCTGAGCACATTTTAAATCCCTTAGGACTTACATAAAAGTAAAAATATTTCTTAGAGTAAAAGAGTAAAAAAGCCATTTCTTAGCTTCTTAGCTTTTTTTATTATTATTTCTTTTTTACTTGAATTGCACAAGATTTCCTGTCCTTCTCTAATTTATTCTCCACTAGTAAACAGCTGTCAAGTTATACCTGAAATCTACTTTGATGGTGTGTAAAGTGTGACATACACTTTAAACAACTAAATTTTGGTAAGGTGGTGGTTATTACAGACTCTGAGATTAGATTTAGATGAAAAAGAGCCCAGTTAGACCACTATTTTTTTTTTTTTTTTTTTAATTACATTTGGGATTAAAGCCATAGCAAAAAGTCACAGGTTTACTTCAGCCTCAATTAAGAAGCAAAGCTGATATGTTTTTGATAGGCTGCAGAGTTGATATGCTTCATATTCATCATCACCTTGACAAGATAGAAGAAGACCAACTTTAGAAAATATTTCATTTTATGAAGGATTCAAAGAGGCTTTAATATCATTTTGTATCATTTTGTACTTCCTTTCTTAACTTACCTTACAATATTAGCATATTATTTTTTAGTGATTACACAACTGATGTAATTTCTACAGTAATACTATCTTCAAGCTCACAGTTTCATCAGAGCTTACTCTTATACCTATCTTACCTTCTTAAACATGCCTTCTAAAATATTTGGTGGTGGAACACCTTGACATTGCACTTAATTAATTACTAATTTTTAAAAAATCTACCATCTCTAATGACGCAGACATCCTAGATCAATAAAGCTCCATCTTCTTATCCAGCTAGTAAACAAGTTGGTGTAACTTATGGTATAACTTACGGTATAAGTTATGGGTATGGGGTGCTCTCTTTCTGTAGGAACACTTTGGCAGTTCAGTTGTTCATGCAGCTCTTCATACTCATTTTCCTGGCATGTATTTCTGCAGAGCGAAAGCATCTCAGTATGGCCTATACTGCATATATACTTATATATGTGTGTACACATGTATGCTATATATATAAATTTATATAAATATGCTTTAAATAGCTCATTTCTCTAACACCATTTTGCAGCTGACACCTGTAAAACCAGTGGTTTCTGTCAGTTGACCACCCTAGCCGTGTCCACTGGGTTTGGTAGATACTAGAGCACCGTGCTCTGGAATGAGTGAGCTCGCCAGCAGCCCGGATCTCAGCAGAGTTCCTGGATGGGCAAGTAACCCCCTGCATCAGCAGGAACTACTGTAGTTACTTGAAGGGATGGCTAGTTACAGACTGCCCAGATTACAGTGGCTAGTAACAACATCCCTTTTCTTCTCCCACTTCCTTATTACCTTCCCTCTCCTTTCTTTATTCTTTCTAGCTTGCTTTTTAGATTGATCTTCGATTTCTTCCTTTTCCCTCTTGCTCTGCCTTCCCCTCTTTATTTGCAGCTTCTGCTGCTCCTTTCTGCTCGCTTGCAGCATGATCAATATGCAGTTCACAAAAAGAACCTTGTTGCATCCGCCGTTTTCCCCACTGTTGCTTATTGTTAACGTAGCAAACTGATGTCCCCGTTTCGCTGCCTCTTTCTGAAGAGCCATTATGCCGCTTCCTGGGAGCTTTGAGGTGGTAACAGGCATAGACAGGCACAAGCTGTTCATTGTCAATATGAACACTCAGTGCTGCAGCTTAAGCAAGGGTGTAAGTTCTCGTTATGTACAGAAAACACATGTACAGCCTCTTTTCCATATTTCTTTTCTGAGAGCAAGTGTAAAGTCTCGCCACGTTTTCAACGCCGTAGTCTTAACACCTTGCCTGTGGTAAACCCACCAGGACACCAGGCTCTGGTAAGCTACCCTAAAGTGGAAGTTCAGGGTAAAACATGATGTTTTCAAAATCTGGTTATTGACACTTGACTTTTTATTGGGAGTTAAACTGATATGTTTGCTGAACGCTGATGAATCTCTGCTCCCTCTTCCATCACTTGAAAATGCTTCATCACGTTCTCTCTGCTGATCAGCTCATTCAGCGAGTTTTGCTCTCCAGTGGATGGGACTTCTTAAGTGCTTACATAGCTTAAGAGATGGAAGAGTTGTCAGCAGACCACACTTAGCATGTTTAAACTGCTTGATTGCTGCAGCGCCAAGGCTTCCAGGCCCTTCCTCAGGCACTCTGGCACTGTTAGTCTGGAGCCTTCCATAACCGCTCGTGGGAGATCCCAGACCTCAGATGTCACCAGCTCTTTCACATTTTGGGTTTTTTTTGGTGTGTGTGTGTGCTGCAGGGCCTAAGTGAAGCTGGAAGTGAATGATGGGGATGTGTGGGTTCCCTTTCTTTGTTTCATAGTCCCCATAGTGGAGCACTTTGCAATAGCAATAGTTTTGCTATAGTTTTGAACAGGAAAGAAAGGTTCTTCATTCATTGACAGGACTTGGGCATCTCTAATCTTGCTCCAGCATGCTCACATTCCTGTGTTGTATTTTATTGGTGCAATCAAGGGATCACAAATAACGCTTCATAAAATTATAGACTGTGATGTTCTAATCTTTGTCTTGCTCACGTATTGGACTGCCATGACATTCCCGGTGAATAAATGTAAGCACAGCCCAACCTCTCCATCTTTATTGTGTAGTACTTAAGATACTTAATACCCCTTTTGTTGTTCTTTATTATTAACATAATAATTAGGATTTAATAATTTAAAAAGCCAACTTGTAATTGCAGTGCTATGAAGACGGGTGTCATGGACCACTAGACAGGATCCAAAGCTTTAGCATGAACAGACCCACATTTTTTGGCTCTTTGAATAATTCTTAGAAAGATCCTCTCAACCATGAGAGTCCATGTTCAACTGAGGAGTGTTAAAGCTCTGCGGCAGCTCCGAGGCCTCTCTCCACCACACACAGTAGGGGATAAGTTTACTGAGAAATATAATCTGCTCTAGTTTTGTATCAGATGCAAGTTGCTTGAGATTCATTTGTCAAGATTTAGACATCTCTCACATAAGTTATCTGCATTATGATCTGGTTGTCTGCTCTCTTTTTATAGTCACTGAAAAGAAATGGGCACTTTTGGAGCTTCATTCATGTGGTGCGTTTAAGACAGTTAAGTAGGGTGAGAAGGCTCTTGACCTAAAGTGGGGTTTTTTGTTTGCTTTTTTTCTGGTAGCAAAAAGTGAGTCTAGATGACTGGAACAGATGCAGACATCTGCATTGTCACCATCTAAATACAGGCGAATAAAACCCACCCAGCATATATGTATTCTGTAGTCAGAGAAAGGACTGCAGAGTTCTGGGCACACTTGCATTAAAGGTCATTGAACCAGGATGGTAAAAGTGCCAGAAAAACAAGGGTAAGAGGATCTTGACGACGGGCTAACATGAGGAGCCCTCCTGTGTCCAGAGAGGCTCTATTTTCTTCACTAATGGTGCCCGGACTAGCAACATTGCTGACGGTGTAGGAACGTCTGTGTGTGCTCCAGGCCTGCTTTGAAATGCAGGTGTTACCTGCAGGTTGTGCTTCCCGGGAGCATGTGCAGACCGTGGCACTTCTCCCCTGTCGCTGGCGTAGCTCTGTGCTGCACTCCTCTTTCATCAGGACACATCATCTTACTGTCCAGCTCTATCTTTGATGTTTCTGACGTTCATTTTATGGAGAAGCCAAATACAGAAAAATGTCATCAATTTTCTTCTGTTATGAGCCTGCAAACATAAGTGTATTCTCTATGCTGCTTTCTAGTGATTTTCCCAGTTTAAATCTTGAAATCTCTAAGCAATAGGGATTCCCCTTCTTCCTATGAGTGGTTTTAACATATTATGGGACACCTCATGAGAACACGTTTTGAACTACCTCTAAAGAGCTTCACTCCTGAGCTAGGATGCAACCCTGGCTGTATGAAGGCTATGCTCAGTTACGAGTAAGGAGAAAATACCCTGTCTGCTATTTACACTTTATCTTGAAATGCACATTAATATGATGTCAATTTGTTTAACCTAAAATGGCTAGAGAACATTTATAGAAACTTTGTCTTTATTTTGCCTTTGCAGATGATCATTCCAGGATATGTTTGAAAGCTGAAAACAGCCACGACAGTTCGGACTACATCAATGCTAGCCCAATTGTAAGTACAAAGTCCCGTGAGAAATAATACAAATAATCAGTCTTTATCTTTCCCCGTCGTTAAAATGTGCTGACGTGAGGCACCTCACTGAACAGGCAATGCCATCATCTAAGGATGTCCCTTGAAAGTGAAGAGAAATAAATGTCCTGCATGTGTTTGCAATGCCCTTGAAGGTTTCTAACAAAGGATACTAAGATGCTGAGAGAAGAAAATCACTAAATAGTCATCCTTCTATCTCATCTTCATACTGTCAGATTTTTAGGATTTGATATTAGTATTTTACCAGTCACTAAACTCAAGAGTATACCCATAGCTCAGTGTTGCTTTTCCTTCTCAGAGGAGATAAAACTTGCTTGTTGTTCCTCCTTAAACATTTCCTTATTTTTAACTTCTTCTAATAGCTAACGAAGATTGGCTGCTGTAGCTGTGGAGAGCTGAGCTCCAAAGCGCCACTTCTGACTTTGCCTCCTCTCTGCCCTCCTGATGAGCAGTTGTCCATGTCTAGCTCTCTTAGTTCTTCTCTGATCTCGCTGGTTTGACAGCAGGAACAAAAGCCTTTGCCACATGCATGTCCTTTCAAACTGCAAAATAGGTCAATGCAGTTTTTGCTTCCAAATGCTCCAGCGTGGCCCTGGTGCCCTTTATCACCCTGCATAAGCTGAAGGCGAAACTTTTTTCATCTGTGAAAGGTGGTAAGGAGAAATAGTCTCTGTTTTTAGACACAAACCAGGTATGATCGAGCCAGCAGATTTGCCCTGTCGTGGTGTCAATGGAAGTGCCAGCGGGTTATATTGACATTACTTAGATACTGAAAAGTTATTTAAAGAAAACTGTTCTGGGCAAGAATTTAGGATGGAAAATTAAATTTCACTCCAGTGGGCTGCATATGTCATTACTAGCTCATTTTCTTGGGGAGTATCACTCCCCCAGTTAAATCACTTTGTGTGGGCAAGGCATCTAACAATTTGCAATAGCCCGAAATTACAGACTACTTCCTGCCAATTTTGTTGACAGTACTTTTTCATTAAAAAAAAAAGAAAAGCAAAATCCATAGGAACTGCTCTGTGAGCTTTGTATTTGTTACTTTCAGCAGAGTTTAAAAGCTTATTTCCTGGAGAATGTATAAAAATATTTCTTTCAAAGACCTAAAACATACATAGAACCAAATTAAAATCTCTAGGATGCAGTTGTGTGGTATTTTGGTCATGGTTTTTGCACTGAGGAACATTATTTTCTAAAGCTGATAGATGTAACTGAATATTTTTGCTGCTTTAGATGTATCCTGTTTAGTTGTATCACCAATGTCTGTAGCTTAGGGTAGAGGGCAAAGCTCATGCTCCCTTTGGGAGCTGCCAGATGCCTTTTTAGAGGACCAGGGTAGATGTGCACAGACTAGAGCATCGTTTAGACTATGTTGTGTCTCTGACTGGACCAAGGTCTAGGTAGCTCCAGGATCTGAAGCTCATCAGTGTGACTTGGAGCTCAGGAGATGCATCTGCCTTATGAAATTACACACAGAGATCTAGGTCTGGGGCTTTCCTGCACCTTTTACCTTAGTTCCCTTAATTAAAATGATGGGCCAAGTATTAGATTGAGTAGTCCTAGTGAATAGAGAGACAGATGCCACGGATATAGTTGGGAACGGATTTGGTCTCTCAGGATGCCCCAAGCTAATGCAGTCAGAGTCTCTGCTTCAGGAGCTTTAACCTTGATGGTTTTACAGACAGTTGTCATCTTGACTTTCCATCTAGCACTTAGGGACATTCCTTTCTGCAATATATTTCTTTTTCATGTTTTTTTTTTCCAAACTCAGATCTGTCCAGTTAAATAAGTCACTCTGCTGACCAATGAAGCTGAAATCTTCTGCTTGTGCTCACTAGTAAACCTGTGGGTTGTCTCTGGGTCACCACTACCCGTGTGCTCAGAGCTCCAGGACCACACAAGCATTTCCTTGGGCTGGGACATGCAGACAACATCTTGCAGGACCATAGACAACTGCAAAGGGAAACTCTGAGTTCCTCTTTTTCCAGACAAGATTAGGGATACTGCCAAGTGGGATGGAATGCCACAGCCCCCATTCAGACCTGTATTACTCCAAGGAAGGAGATGCTCCACATCCACATCAGTAAAGGAGGGCTATGTTCCCAGTCATCAGTAGAAGGTGCATTTCTGAAGGTGATGCAGTGGGATGTAAGCAGAAGTCCCTACTTTGCAAGCCCGTGGCTTGGAAGATTTCCCCGCAAGCTGCTTCATTTCAAGGCAGATGAAACATTTTCCGGTTGCTGCAAGCGCATTTTTTAATCCAGTCCTTGTTTTCATATAATGAAGTAGAACATAGGAGTGCCAGAGGCTTTCAGTCCTTCCCCCCTCAGCATCCTACTGGGATATTCCGCTGGGCACTTGACTCTGTGGTGTTTACCCTGACTGTGCAACTGCTGCAGCTTGAGCTTGGCACACAGGCTATTACTCCTGCTGTTTATTTGAGATATTTTCCTTTGGCAGACCCACGTTTGATCAATGTCTCTGTAAGTGCACGGCAGATCTGGAATACCAGCGAGTCTGCCTGTATTTGCTCTTGCAAAAATCCCTCCTTTTTTTTTTCCCTGCCTTTCAACTTAAGTAACCTGGGTAATTATCATGTCAATACACCCCTGTTCCGGGTGCAGTTGCACCGGGTTGGGAGCCAGCAGTGTAGCGAGCTGCAAGAGGGACATTAATAGCACTCCCTCCATAGGCCTGGCCTGACGAGGGGAGGATTTTCCTTCTCCCCATGCGTGTGAGCTGTCTGATGAGGGAAGAGTGCAAAATAATTATCCTTTAGCTTCAGGAAAGGAGGCCTCCAGTCGTGTAGATGTTGCAGGGCATCTCCAGCTTCTGGGTGAGCGGTCCAGGCTCCAGCTGCGGCTCAACTCAGCCTCAGCTGAAGTCTGAATGAGGGCAACGGGTCGCAGAAGAGAGCCCTGCACTCGGCCATGGACCTCCTGTCCACGTGGGTCCTCCTGTTAACGAACCTTATCCCTCCTTGGGACCTGCTTCCTCCCCTGCAGACTGTGGAAATGGGCTTTGATTCCTGGCCGCTCCGTGGTGGGCGAGGAGACTCTGTGGAGAGATTCAGTCCTGCGGCGGGAGGTCAAGCAAAGAGGCTCCCTGAAAGAATTTACAGGGGGAAACTGGGCTAGAAATCTGTTTCCCTCCTCTCTGCAATAACATAAAGTGCTATGATAATAACTGCGCTCTCGGCGGCGGAATGAAAAGCCTGCAATTACAGCACAAGGAGACCCTGACTGTGCAGAATAAAACTGTGATAATTACATCTGTCATATTTGTACTTAGTCCTCATTAAATTTCGGGGAAATCATCTGGTAGTAAATAATGTGCAATCTTTGCTTTTAAATCAGAGGTCATGAAAGTAAATGGGAATTCTGTTTTTCCTCATAGGGTGTCTGAGAGGGAAAAAAAAATCCCATCAACTACATTTAAAAACTCAGTTTGCTTGTTATTGAAGACACCAGACTGAGGAATGTCATTAACATGACAGTTTGCTCAAACACAGCATACAAATTTTATCACCAAGAATAGACTCTGAAATTCATAATGGCATTTGCAACCAGATTTGCTTCTTTCATTCCATTAGGGATTTTAAAATAAAAACTTTAAAATAAAGATTTTAAAATTGTTTTTAAATTGTTTAAATTTTAATTCAAACATAAAGATGAGGACTAATCTGCCTTTTTAATTTTAGTGTTGAGATGAATGTGATTGCAATGTTTATCTGCATTTGCTGGATATGCCTTCTTTAACAGAAAAAAACTCACAAATTCAAGAGACTTTATGCTCTGTTTAATAAACAGATACAGGAAAGTAGATTTTATCACTTTTATAAACATACTAAAGCTGTAAACTACCCCCTTACTCGATTGGTCATAAATTTTTAAGACATTAATAAGAGTTCAACTTTCTTTCCATCACACTTAGTTTCTGTTGGGTCTCATTCTGATCTCATGTGATATCAGCTGGAGTGAGAGGCTTTTGACTAAGGTAAATACAGGTGCCTGAGATCACATCTCACCCAGCGTCTTCCTGGGGATGGAAAATGTGGATCTGACAAGCTGAGAGGGAAGGTAAAAGGCAGGAATGAATGAATGTATCTTCTACATAAGATTTCCAAAGGATCATTGATGCGTATTGACTTTGCAGAGTTATATTTTTTTTCAGTACAAGAATGTGTATGTAACCACTCTTAAAAACAAATTTACTCACAGAATGCATTCTATTTGGCTGCATTTCATCAGCCTTATCAGTGAAATCAGCAGCAGCAGCACAATCTGTTTGAAAAGAAACAACAAAATTCCGAGTCCTCAGGGAGACCACAAAGGCCTAGAGTGGAGCAGTGGCATGGTGCAGATTGATCGCCTGACCTTGGCCTTACTATATTGCATCCTATATATATATATATATATATATATATATATATATATATATATATATATATATGGAGATAGAGAGAATTCCCCTACAGTAGAACAATTTGAACATTTGCAACTTTTTCTTTCCCAAAACCACCAATCCATCTAGTTCTGATGTAGTTCACGTGAGCTCTGTGCTTTGACAGGGGTTCCCATCAAGGCTTTTTTACCAAAGGGAATAAACTCTTGTTCTTACTGAGCAATGACCGTGACAGTGATTTTTGATGATTGTTTCTGTGTAAAATGTTAGTCAGCAGTGGATTCTTGGTTTAGTTTTTGATAATACAGAGTTTGTTCTTCTCCATTCTTCTCTGGAGCAGAATATTCTCTGGATTTTCTGTTTTATTTTGGTGAAGAGAGGAATGCAAAGCATCTGTTGGAGAACAGAAAAACTACTGACATGAAAAAGCCTTTTACTTTATCCTTGATCCATTAGTTTTAAACCAATTTCTGATTTTATTTCTTATTCAAATTTTTATTAAGTTTGATAAAATTAAGATACCCTTAGTGCAGTAACCCTGGGAGAATTTTTAAAAATAAATGCATAAAATAAAGAAAACATTCAAGAACCTTGCAGTCAGCTAATCACTTTAAATGGAATGTGACTAAAGTAGAGCTTTCTCTCTCTCTTTTTTTTTTTTTTTTTTTTTTTTTTTTTTGCCTTTAAAGCAGTGCATATTTTAGAAAATTGATGAAACCGGAAATTTCATTTAATTAATTTCATCTTTGTCCTTATTTTTTCTGAAGTTGCAGATCATCTAATAGTGCGATAGGGCTTCCTGCCATCCTCTATTTGCTCCGAGCAAGCAACGTTTCTGCTCCTAATTGTTTTCTGTGCAGCCCAGTGTGCTTGGAATGTAATAATTGTAATTGTCTTTTGAATTATTGTTAAACTGCAGCTCCACTTGGCTGCTCGGGGCTGATTGTCATGTTTGCCACGTTCCTGCAGCACCTTTGTGACAGAGGTTGATTAATGCTGAAATGCCAACAACGGCCTGGTCCTGATTTATCAGCTGCATGTTTAGAGGCATTTCCTCGGTGACAGTGCTATTTACATCAGCCTGGATTTCGTCTGCCTTTGTTTTCTGCCTTGTCTTCATACAAAAGAAATCAGTTTGGGAAGAAATTCCAAGTAAATTACTATTTTAATAAAGTTTAGTGCATTCCCCCATGGTTTGATTTTCGAAGTTAAGCTCCTGAAGTCACAGCTTAGACAAGTGGAATCATTTTTAAGTGTTTTCCACTGCTAGCTGCAAACCCTTCTTGCTGCAGCTGCTTTTTCTAAGCTACACTTTTTAGTTATAAGAAATAAGTAATAATATTTTTAAAAAAAATACTTTAAAAGACATTTAAATACTACATATTGCTGTCGGATTCAAAACAACGAAAAAATGACTTCAGTGGTAATGGAGCAACCCAAACTTCAAATGTGGATTTGGTCAATCATGTTCTCTGCTGATTGCAAACCTTGTTTTGTTTGCTTTTCGATGCTAAACAGAAGGAAGAGAGAGAGTTGGCCCTTGGAAAGGATTCCTAAGCTTTTCTGCTAATACATCATTTGGCAGCAGGCTGGTTTTTGCCTGATCTCAGAATACCTGTGGTAGTAAATGCACTGCTATCAGCATTGCCTTTGTCACGAGGCAAAGAAAGCAAGGCCAAAACTGGTTCCGAGCTGCTGTTTATTGTGCAGGGCTGTTTGCTGGCAAAGGCAGCAGCTAAATGAAACATGCCGTCACAACTGGAAAATATGGAATTATAGCCAGTCTGGTCAAAGTTTCCTCTGCCCATGAGAGGTGATTGAACAGTGACTTCTATGGAGGCAGTGCCTCCGTTTTACCTGCGATTTGTTGTCATGGAGAATTTTAATGTTGAGTCCGGTTTAATTATACATCGGAAAATTAGAAGCATCACGGGGTTCTCCTCCTTTTTGCAGCGCTCGTTGTAGAGTTACTCTGTTAGAATAACTTACATCTGTTCCTTTATGGCGCTTCCCTCTTTTATGTTGCACATAATTATGAGGTGCCTTCTTTTACGCTGACATCTACCAGCACTGAAAGTTTTGATATGCTGTGAATAAATCCAGTTAATGCAAATGTGCCTCACGTTCCTTCTTATTCCGACCTTCACGTCTAGAATCTGTAAGTGGAGTGAGGCAAATTCTGCCTTCAGCTACAGCAACGTGGGTCTGAGTTAACTCTCACTGACTTTCTGAGTGAGAGCTGGCCTGGGCCTTTGCTCTTTGTGGGGAAAGTTTTGTCTTGCCCAGCTCAGGATTAGAATGAGCTGGCGGCTGTTTTAATCCCAAGAGCTGATCTTCCTTCTCAGGAGAATGGGTCCTAAGATTGAGAACCAAGAAAACCACCCATCAGATAGAAAACATTCATTGTAACACACTAATCCTATTTACTCCTGATAGCTTTGTTGCTCAGATTCGTTATTTTTTCTGCTCAGTGAATTTTATGCTCCGTGAATTAAATGTTATAATTAAGGTCCTTAAGCAGAACTTCTTCTATTGAGGCCAGATCCATGCATTTAGATAAATCGGCTGACCAGAAAAGGCCAGCGACTGAATTTGTTCCCCAGTTTTGCTCTTTTTTAGCTGCTCGTGCCCTTGGCTGGCATGGTGGAAATGGAGAACAGAGCTGGATGCGCCCGGCACTCGCAGCACTCGCTGTCGAAAAATGCCTCAGCCGGCTCCTGGGTTGCTATGAAACCGTGAGGGCTGATCTTAAATAAACGCTTTTGTCAGCCACCATAAATGCATATATTGAGCACATAGGATGTTGCGCATCATATGTGCTGATATTTATCTAGGAACAGCAGTCTCTTGTGGGAAAAGATGTCCTCTGAGCTTATAAATAGAAATAAAATTATTTGCTTGCCAGTAAAAGGGAGAGGGACATGTCAGGCCTTGTTACTGCTCCGGCGCTTATTTTCTGCCTCCTGCACAGCCAGGGATTTTCCTTGAACGAAATCAAGCCTGTGTTCCCCTTCTTTATTCCAGATGGACCACGACCCCCGAAATCCTGCCTATATTGCCACCCAGGGCCCTCTCCCCGCTACTGGTGCTGACTTCTGGCAGGTGAGTTAAACGTCTCTTTGAGAGCTCAGTCTTTGCTGAGGCAACTGCTGTTCTCTAAGGGGTCAGGGGCATGAAAAGCCCACTGTACCCAGCCTGCAATGGAGTTGCTGGGAAAATATGTTTTGTTTGTTTGTTGAAACTTCTAAAAATCTAGTCTATGGATGTTAAAGCCATTTTTTAATATGACAAACTAAAGACCAGTTGATCTAGAAGTGCTGTGGAAAACCTCAAGCCAAAGTGTTCAGATTTTAGTCACACGTTTAAGGCCAGGTCTCCCTAGTCAGCCTGCAGCCTGAGACTGGGTGATTTTCAAAGCTGACCCTGCTAAGAGCATGGTCAGAATGAGTTGGTTTTCTCCAGATCACAAAGGACCTAACACTCTGTGCTGTGAATTTTTCAATTGAAATCTGCTTCTCCTAGGCCCCAGTTCCTCCAAATCCTTATGCATTTGGCTGAGTGGAAAGCCAAGGCACCACTCTACAGCATCAAGACAAAATACCTCATAAATCTTAGCAAAATGAAGACTCAAGACAGGTTTTACCGGTTTAGATGCTCGAGCGGAGCATCTATTTGGGACTTGCTTTTAGAAGCACAGAGCAAATGTTTTTTGTCTGAAATAATTTAAGCTGTTGTTTCGGCTTAAATTTTCAAGTAACTGGTAATTTTTGTCTTCACTATGTGGCAATTAGATAGTGTTGAAAAATCTGATTTTTTAACCTTAGTGAGTGATTGCTTGTATCAAGCATTGTATTTTAAAAATGTTTCTTAATGTAAACATGAAATATCAGCTATCACATTAGCTATTTGGAAATGGCATTTTATGATTCCTAAGGGCTGTTGTTTTAGATACATATTTTTTCATTTTGTGTGTTTTCAAGTTGTATGTTTATATTTTACATATTTTTACCTGTAACTGCCCATTTACCTGTGGCAAAAATGTACATCCCATTTCTAAAGGAGGCATTTAAAGAACAAATTCTTCTTAAGCTTTGCTGCTGACAAATCTAAATTAATCATAGAAAGATAAGATGATGGGTATGTTCCAGACTTTTTTCGTTCTAATTTAAAGACAATTTTAGTGTCCTGCTGTAAGAGGGAAAATCAGTGTTAGAATCAAGTATTTCTGTGATTAAATATTTCATTTAGTGTGTACAAAGTCCAGATTTCTCCAGGCATGGAGTGATTGAAGCTGAAAAGCAATTTCTCTGCTCTGCAGTCCAGGCTTCTTCCATTCAACTCCATACTCAGAAAGTCTCTTTCTTGAATTTTTCCCCTCATGTTATTTGTGGCTGGAGATTTCTTTGTTTCTTTTCCGTTTACCTTCTGCTCTGTTTTATTTCCTTCTCCTCCCACTTACCCATCAGTAAAAGATGGCTCCATCTTCCTGCCAAATTGTTGTGTTTGTTCTATTTTCCAAGCAAACCGCTTGGTAACAGTGGTTCAAGTCCAAGTGGTTCCTGCTGAAGTGTGCCTCTCTCTCTCTTTTTTGCGAGATTTAATTCTTATATATGTTTTGATTATACAACATATAATCCCTAGGGCAGAGTCTTCTGTCCATAGCCTCTGGAACGCAGCGGGTATGTGGTGCAAGTCAAAAGATGTGGCTTGAAGTTGTTGCTGTTGACAGCCAAAGAGGCCAAAGCAAAGTCTGTGGCTGTTTTTCACCTAGCAGTACCTATGAGAAGGTAAAGCATGAGAAACCTGAATTTGCTCTGGAGTCTAGAGAACTAACCTTCCAGCACAGAACCCTATGACATTTCCTTGAATGCAGTTTTCTGTAGATTATACTGATCATGGGCTGCCCCCAGGGATGGTTTAGATATTCAGTTACTCATTCCGGATGCTTCTCCTCCTCCCTCAGCCTCCTCCGCTCAGCACTGGCTGCTGCTGAGCCCCGTTTCTGCCGCCCCTTCCACGTGCTCCACATGCATGAGAACAGCGACCAGTTCCAGAGAGACCTGGGAGCTTTCTGCTACTCTGTGTCCAAATGCACGACGCTTCAGCAAGTAGTTTAGCAGTGCCTTGTAGGGCAGGACTTACGGTATTTATTGCTTCTTATTTTTGCAGACAGAGACTTAGGTGCAGCTGGGTGTCCAAAGCTCCTAGTTGCACAGCCAGCAGCAGCCACTGCTTTTCCTTGGCTAAAGAGCTTCGCCAGCAGGTAGCTGCTATAATTGTTCCCACACCTGAAGGCAATTCAAGCTGTTTTCTTAAAAAAAAAAAAAAAAA